GGTGTGCGCACCATGCTTGAGGGCCATATCTGAACCGTGCGCCGTGTGCGCACCGTGTCTGAGGGCCATATCTGAACTGTGCGGTGTGCGCACCATGTCTGAGGGCCATATCTGAACTATGTTCGCACCCTGTCTTAGGGCCAGATCTGTGCGCTGATGCACACCGCGCTTGAGGACAGGATTTGAACTGCGCGCCATGCGTCTGCGCACACAACGGCTGAGGGTCATATCTGGACTGTGCGCCCACGCACGCTGTATCGGGAGGCAGCTTTGACCAGTGCGCCGGTGCGCATCCAAACCAGTGTGTCCATCTGAGAACTTTGACCAATGACACAACTTTTGCGGATAGCCGATTTCGAGCCTGAGCGTCGCATGCCTGGTAAATAGCTGATTTTAAGTCTGAAACGTCTATATTCATTGTGGACTTGGCAAATAACCGAATTTGAGTCTGCGCGCCGATATGCATTGCCTGAACATCAAAGCTCATTGCTTGAGGACTTGRCAGTTGCTCAATTTTTGAGCCAATGTTTCAGCGGTCACACACACAGTGAGGTTCAGTTGACCAATCTCCATTTGATGGCAATAGTGGCCAGGCCCTAAGCGAAGGCCGATTGTCACACTCATTGACCAACAGACTGTGCATACAGCAGGTTATCCGAAAGCACGCCCAGACCTGATATTGTTTTTTAAGTTCGTGCCCATGCGCGCCCAGCCCTGATATTGTTTTTTAAGCGTGCGCCCATGCGCGCCCAGACCAGATATTGTTATTTAAGTGCGCGCCCACGCGCGCCCAGACCAGATATCGCTATTTGAGTGCGCGCCCATGCGCGCCCGTGCTCGATATTGCTTTCTGAGTGCGCGCCCGTGCGCGGCCATGCGCGCCCAAGCTCGGCATCGCTGTAAGAGTGCGCGCCCATGTGCGCCCAAGCTTGGCATTGGTGTTAGAGTGCGCGCCCATGCGCGCCCAAGCTTGGCATTGCTGTTAGAGTGCGCGCCCATGCGCGCCCAGGCTTGGCATTGCTGTTAGAGTGCGCGCCCAAGCTAAACGTCGAAGTGAGGCCACGTGTGTTTGCGCTGGATATTGCTATTTAAGTGCGCGCCCGTGCGGGCCCAAGCCTGGAACTATTATTAGAGTGCGCGCCTATGCATGCGCAGGCTGGGTTGTCATTTGAGTGTGCGCCCGCGCGCACCCGAGCCTAGGAGTGCTATGATGATGTCAGAGCGAGTACTATGATTTGCCATCACGCTCCCGTCCATTTATTTCCTTGCTGATCAGCACCGCCCTGTGCACATGACACCCTCCCGCACGGGGAGCATTTGCAGTTCAGTCTTTGCACAGACGACTTGGTACAGTCCAGCCCCAGTACATTCAGTATTTATGACTGGTCCCTGTGCATGAGACGTTTTGCTGATCAGTTGCTGTTCAGTCGGGCCCCTTCAGGCGGGCCTACTTGAGATTGTTGCTGTTCAGCCGGGCCCCTTCAGGCGGGCCTACTTGAGATTGATGCTGTTCAGCCGGGCCCCTTCAGGAGGGCCTACTTGAGATTGTTGCTGTTCAGTCGGGCCCCTTCAGGCGCGCCCATTCCCTGAGATCTATGCAGTTCAGCCAGGCCCCTTCAGGCGGGCCCTTTTCTCGAGATCGTTGCTGGTTTTAGCCGGGCCCCTTCTGGCGGGCCCATTCCTTGAGGTCGTTTGTTCAACTGAGCTCACTCGGGCAGGCACTTACATTGGGTTGCTGACTATCATCCGGCCAGGTCTTGGAGGGAGCATCCACACTAGTGAGAGTGCGTCCTCTGTCCAAGCTGGCCCGTCATCGTGAGACTGCCCCAACGTGGGGTAGACTGGTTGAGAGGTTCTGCTATCGACATGTGGGACACCAGAGTTTTGCCATCAGGGCCAATGAGTCACCGACTTCGAGACATACGTTGGTGATAACCTATTTGGTAAAGGGGGCAGAGAAGGGGGTGAAGGGCAACACTTATGACAGGATTGCTGACTATATATTTCGCAAGGAGAGCTATTGGAGGGATAATTGGCTACATGTGGTGTTTCCTCGTGTACCTTCAGCACCTGGGGGTGTACTCTTCGACTTTGATGGCCCCGCGTACCTTCAGCACCTGGGGGTGTACTCTTCGACTTTGATGGGTGTAACCCCAAGCCCTTCGGTGAGTCTTGCAGCAAGGAGAAGAGGCGGAAGGACAACCGGATTAGGAAAGAGATAGCTAGATCCGGGGTCCCGATCACTACGTGCGTACAGAGATCTGAGACGGACGAGTCCGATCAGGAGCCTTGCTGCGTGAGTGACATTGATCTTGGCGACTACTTCAACTGGGACACTCACAGAGACTGAGTCTGTGGACAGTAGCAGGAGCGCTGGAGACCGGCGAGCGACGACGGCGGAGAGCGACGTTGAGGAGGATTGCGTATCTTCTGGCACGGTATCTGCTCGAGGGCGATTGACTTCTACATGTCAGACGACCCTAGGACCGAGGCGGTTATTGGTCTCCCAAGAGGGGAAGGTCCAGTCCCACATCTCGGGGATGGCTATAGTCATTTGGTCGGGGCTGACTTTGCTATGCAGGCTTTTTGGAAGCCTCCTTACGAAGATCGTTTCCTCGAGGTTTCTTCCGTCTATGTTGACAGGAGAGGACGGATTGAGATACTGATTGGAGCTACGGGCAACATCACCCTCGCAGAGGAGCTTTATCTCAGGAGCGTTGTAGATGAGGAGATAGCGAGATGCATGTGCAAGATTGATCCGGCAGTGCCTCTTGATATCAGCTATGTGGTTCCAGAGTCGATAGCCACACGGGTTCTCAATGACGAGGGGGACCAGCGCGTATCGGATATGGAGTCCCAGACAACAGCACTCACTCACAAGGGGGTACCACTTGTCATTATTGATTGAGGTTCTCTCTTTCTAGTCACTATGATGTATCAGGGCATTATTATGATTTATTAGTGACTGCAGCCCTCCGATAGCTGCTCCCTGCATACACTGTGTACTACTCTTCAGTCTCGTATTTCTGGTCATGCTCTTGCAGAGTCTGGTTTCTAGTCTTCTCGTTCTGTCAATGTCAATTGCTCTATGATGTATGTGTGTTATTTTCCTCCTTATGATACACAGGTTACACTCAAGGCAGCTTGAAGGACTCCTGGACAATAGGGACTCCGGTGACCTTGAGTCTAACCTTTATACGGGGTCAGGTGCATGCGAAAAACCTGAACGCCTCACTCTAAGCCGTGTCGCCGCTGGCAGGAGGGATAACCCTGACTACTCGGCTGTATGACTAAGTGTGACAAAGACTGCCTTTGAATACACCTTTATCCTATACCTACCAAAATCCTGCGTGACAGCCTGCCAGTCCACCAACCCACTGAGCTCAGTTCGGGAAAGACATCTAACCACACCCTTGAAGCAGTGGGGGCGCGACAACGTCAGCCAGAGGGTGAATGACAGGGCGGACCCATTACCAGCGTTTGTCGCAAAGCTTGGTGTGGAGCAGAGGGTGGAGCAGAGGGTGGAGCAGAGGGTAGATGGGATGGTGCAGGACAGGGCGGAGCAGAGGGCTGACCAGAGGATTGAACACCGGAGAGAGCGGAGGGATGGACACAACTTGGAGGTTCAGGTGGACGTTACCATGGACGAGAGCGTAGTTCGACAAACGGAGGACAGGGGCAGCGAGAGGAGGGGTGTGGCATCTACACGCGAGAGTATAATCCAGGGTGAGGATGCTCAGGTTGCTACAGAGGGGGGGGGGTAGAGGGAGAGTGATGTTAGACTGCCGACTGCCTCATTCTACGGGATTCTGCCCATGCCCACACGTGCCACCCCATCACCCGATGCAGCAGGCGTTCATCTTCTCAGCAGATCCACGTTGGACGACATAGTGGTGGCACTTCATCTCCCGCAGTGTTCCCTGGCAGTGCCCTACACCACCCCCCGTCGGTGACTTTACGTCGCCCGGTTGCGCACGCGAGTGGAGCATCCACTTCGTCAGCGGCGGCTGCCCCACCTGTGCGTAGTCCATTAGGCATGCCACCGTTCCCTGCAGGACTTCCATCACCCATTGTTGATGATGTGAAGACAAGTCGTGCAGGCAGGAAGAGGAGGAGGGAGGATGACGGAGGCGCATTACCACCTCCTCCACGACCGCAGGGTGGCACTCGTGGTCGCCCGCGAGGCTCAGGTTCAGGCAGGGGTCGAGGCAGGGGTCGAGATTCATGGGCGATGAGTTCAATGGGGGCAGACGACGCGGGTGAGGACGATGTTGGGCAGCGCACCACTGCATGCACTGATTTGACGGTGGGTGTTCGCACGAGGTCTCAGGCCTCGATTGGAGTTCGCAGTACGAAATCCGGTCGTATCATTGACGACGATTCATATGCCGCCTCAAGTGATGGCCTTTCTGGTAGTGACTACGTGGATGAGAGGGATAGTGAGACTCGTGCCCGGGGAGAGGATGAGAGTGGACATGACGATAGCTCAGACTGGTATTGGGCACGAGGACAACTAGAAGGATGTTCACTAATGCGTTGAGGGATGTGTTCTGTCATCGGTGGTTCTATCATGGAGGAACTTGGGCATTGATGTTGCAATTTCGTGTATCTGCGACTGACATTGACGAGTTTGTCTTCATACGATGTGTGCACTGTGGTGGTCTGTCATCGAGTTAATATCTCGTGTATATGTGTGTGAAATTGCTAGTCGGTCAATTGGTTTAGTCCACAGGGTAAGGTCATTGCCACTCTGTGTGTGTGTGTGTGTGTGTGTGTGTGTGTGTGTGTGTGTGTGTGTGTGTGTGTGTGTGTGTGTGTGTGTGTGTG